CATGTACATGTACGTGCATTGTGTCCGGTAAAGCCAACGTTATGTGCAGTTGTATTTAGTCTAGATCCATGGTGACACTACAGAGTATAGAAGTGAATATGTCACATGCACAGTTATGTGTGTAAAAGGTAAACGACATTAGCCTGAGAACCAACGTAAGCCGTGGCTTATCGAAAATTACGGTAATGTGACAATGCACTTTCGTATTTTTAATAAAATTTGGTCCTACATAGCGATATTTTCAGTGTATTTTTCAATAGAGATGTTTTCAATGTTTCGATATTTCTTAAAAATCTGATATTTTCCATATAATGATATTACCAAATAACTAACATCAGCGATATCAATCCCATATCAATAATAACGATATATGGATATATCGACGGTGTTTTGTTATGGTAAATACCTGCAGGGTGAATATACAAGAAACAGAAGAAAAGAACATAAAATATACATAGACACTCTTATCAACAGATAAGTGAAAATTAAGGTGATGCTTTATTCAGAAAGGAAGGATGGATGACCAAATCGATACATAAGCGTGTACACAGATGGAAACTCAAAAAATCAACGATGCCTCGGAAGACACGTCATTATGTTATGGCAGAGAGAAAAGAAGGACCAACATGGCGGCGGTGCTGCATTGCATTGTGGGAGGTTAGGGTGCACCTCAGGTGATCCAAGTCTTTTCAGCGAATAATAAGAGGTGTATGGGAAATTTACATATGTAGTGACTGTTGGATAGGTAGAGCATCATAGACTTAAAAGTTTAGCAATAAAAGGGCTCTTAACACAAGTGAGTAGGCCCTCCTTATTCCCCACTTAAATCATTGGGTTGAAAATACTACCAACCTTCTCCGAGTGTAGTTGCATAAACAATGCGTGAACTTGGCGAGTTGCCCTCTGGAGTTTGAAGCTGGACTACAACAGCATAGTCTGTGTTGGGTTCCAAATCACCAATCTCTGCTTGGTGGAAATCACCCACAACCACCCGTTTCCAGTAGCTCAGATCCACATCCACAGATTCACTTGTACAATACACAATATACGTCAAGCCGGAACGATCATTTTCTATATCAACAGGTGGTTTCCATTCAATAAGGATAGCAGTGGTGCTCATTGGGCTGACTCTGATATTACGTGGAGCTTCCCTAGGAGCTGTAAACATGAAAATACAAGTGAAATAACTCTAACATACACTGTAAATAAGGCCAATTAAGATAAACTGACTTTCAGTAAAAGTACATTCGTTATTCCTGTTGTATGAATGGGAGTTTATGCACTTGAATACCCTGTCACTCAAAACACCCAAAAAAGTATCTCTGTTATCAAAGTTTTATTTGATCACTCCAAAAGAAACCATGGCTGAAGAGTAACAAGAAGACTTCAGAGATCATTGATCTTTTCATGAGACATCACTGCCAAGTGGGGAAACACTACATGCTACCATTGTGATTCACGTAGTCACAATAACCAGCCCGAACCCATAACAAAGTTAAAAGCTATCACTAGCTCTTTAAATGACTATGTGTTTGCATTAAAGACACACAGTAGATGTGCTCGGCTTCTGAGCCAGCCAAATCACTACCGTTTGCCTAATGACCTCAAGCATGACATCAAGCTTTGTTTACATACTCGTGGTGTGCTTTCCAAAGAGAGCTTGATGGAACGCATCCCACATACATGTTATTGCAATAAGAAAGATCATGTTGATGTGCACGTATGACTTGACTGTCACAAAATTGGGAACTTGTTCAACTTGTAATAGAGTAACTCAATGTTTTCTGCATTCCCATAAGGTTCAACCTTCTTGTAAATGGAAAGAAATCAAAGATCGGTATGATTGTTTCTTTTATCAATGACTGTGGGAAGTGGAAAGCACAGGCTTGCTCATATACATCAAGATCCCTCTAGATAAATATATGACTTTTGATACAACCTTATTAAAAATCCAGGGATTTAAAACAAAAAAGAAACAAGAGAAGCAAGAAACTAAGGGACGGGATCAAAAATACAGTTCGCACTCGCGCTAATGCCAAGAACGCATTCTTTTGTTCAAGCTACCTCCCCTTTGCATGCACAAGAACAGCCGTCCTGTTCCCTCACGTTCCTCTTCAACAAAAGACCCGTCAAGGTCTGTGCACACAGCAAGACGTTGTAGCCCCCAGGGTGGTACAAAACCTGGAGGCTACGAGAATGGTGTTCGAACAACCATCCATGGATTCGCAAACAGCGGGGAAAATTAAATCTTTGGCCACTCTTCTGCTTTAAGACATTTCTTTTTAATTCTCTGAAGTAGAGAACTTCAGCACCGCATTCCACAAGTAATACTTTGCTTTTTATCAACAAAAGATATACATTTTATAAAGTTTTGAGAGGAGGTGTTATTGAGTGGAAACATCTTTCATCATCAAAATTTCAAACTGGTTCAAATGCGACAAATTATATATATCATTTTGAAGGTTATGGTGTATACTTTAATGAAATATACCGGTACTTCATTTCTAACAACATTCAAGAATTTGGCTTTTATATGATACTGAAAAATCAGTTTTAAATACCGAGAAATTGGGGAAAATATTTCCCCTCTGAAAGATTTTTTGTTTTTTTAGCCTGATAATATTTTTTTTGTTTCAGTTTTGTTACAGTTTGAAGAGTGCCCCAATAAGTAAACAATGACAGAAATGAATTTTCATTTTCCTTTTGAAATTTTATGTAATGTCTTATTTTATAACACTTTTCTTATGTACGTTCGACACCAAAATGACAGTTTTTATATCCCCTCAGTGTACCCTTTAGCAAAAGACTGCCAAATTTACAATACAAAGCGCAATGAGTTCCTTCTTTCTAGACATCAGCTTAACTCCTTAAATTATTTTTTTCAAATACTCAAAAATTGTGGAATCAGATGTGTATGTCCGACAACTTGTACATCCAACACTGTCAGAACCAGGCATTGCTGGCAATGCAGTGCTTTTACACTGTACAGAAACCACTACCACCTCATTTGCATACATGGAAATAAGGCCCCAACATTTTGTACAAGTACCAAATAGGCTTCACTTTTTTTTTTTTTTAATTTGTGTAAATTTGACTATTTGGACATACACATCCTAATACGGTTATAATTAGGGCCGAAAGCCATTCCACATGTGTCATGTGTAGACAAACGTGCTTAGCATGTATTCAGAAGTTTGATTTCACTTTGTGTTGCTCGAGGATTTAACCACTTCATGCCGGGGCATTTTTCAATGTTGATGATGCTGGGCCGGCATGACTATCATTTTTTCCGTTTTGAAAATCCTTCGCAAATTCATCATTTCATTTAACGGACGTTTATAGCCGCACCAAGTAATCTTTAGGCACTACTTTAAGTTGACAGGTGACCTTCATTGACGCCCGAGTATTTCAGCCAGGCCTGCAGCCTTGTGAACAGAGCCCAGATCATGCGGTGTTATATAACTTTCTTTTGTTCAAGAACCTGGCTCAGTGCACTGCTGACCTCTTTTCAATAGGGGCCAGACTAGCGTGCAGCTGTGCTGTGTGGCTCATCGCAACATGGAGCGCTTTTGTCCCCAGTCGTAATCCGCTCACTCTCAATGCCCCAAACCCTAGTATACGGTTTCAAAACAAGGCTGGATTATCACCACTTTTGAGAGTGAAATGGTAATGCCAAGCAGCCTGGTCTTTCGTTCGGAGTACGGTCTTTTGTTACAGGGCCTAGTTTAAAAGGTTATAAAAATGTTTAATTTTATGTTCTAAGGCCAAAAGATCTTACAGGTACACATATGCAATTGTTCTTTAATTTGATTTATTTCTCTAAACGATTGTCAACTGTTGAAAACTTTTTTTTAGTTTGAATGTCTGACAGTACATGACTAGTTTAAATGAGCAAAATTTGCATAAATACTTCTAGACAATATTTTCCTTCATACTGTTTCATTGAATCCCCCATCATCCAATTCCTTTCTAGTTGCTTTTGATGATTTTTGTATGGCTTGACATTTTCTTTTGGTTTGGAAAGTTTACTAAAACCTTCATGAAGGTAGAAAAATGAGACAAGCTTTGGTTTGAACTGATTTCCTTCCATTCTGAAAAGTCAGTTCGGACGTGTACGTCCGACACCAAAAAAGTACGTCTGACACCAATATAATAAATGTTTTATCTGAAAGTCACAAGATAACAAGTGTCTTGCCTTGAAGTTTATTAACAAGGGTCTGCTGAAACTAAACACAGGAAAACTACTTCTTCAGGTCCTAGCAATTCACAGAGTTTGTGATACAAAAATGGAAACTCAAAAAATTAACTTTCTCTGAGTACGTCTGCCACCATGGTGTTATCAGTCAGCTTCTACAAGAATAATAATTCTGAGTGAGAAATTTTGTTATTAAATGAATGTACCAACTAGCTGATGTCTGTTATCAAAATCAAAATCTGCTTCAAGATTACAAGTATAATAAAACACACTGTTGAAATGTCCAAAATGTACATACGACACCATGGAACTGCCCAAAAATATTAATTTTGGCCGTTCAGCAGAATATTTTTCCTTGAAAAAAGTGAATAAATTTTTGCAGAAGAAGTTGTTAATAAATTTTAAGGCCTGGAAAATGCTATTTTTCATAATTTAATGCCAAGAGAAGGAGGTGAAAACATTATTTAATTTATCCAAGGCTGTACAACAAATTCTGGCTAGCGGCCAGGCAGAGTCCAGGAGGAGCTTGAAGGGGCCCAGGATTTCCCATGGTGATGCTCTTCCTTGGCAACAGCGGCATAACTCTGGGACTGTACAAGCATACTGTATCCTACCAATGGCTGCTTTACTTGCCAAGAATGCCTAGTAATTAGCTGAAGATTTACGCGGGCATCTTCAAAGATAGCCAGCGTGACCCCAATACTTAAAAAGATAAATTCTGTCTTGTCACAAATCAGTGATATTTTAGGCCACCTGTTTGATTAATTTAAAGACACAAACTGTATGCTGCCAAGTTGGCCAAATTTTCTTATATGTTCTTTTATGCAAAGTAAGGTGCGGTCCTGTATGGTTCACACAAGCATTGGTACACACCAGGCATGGGGACCTGAATAGTGTTTTATAGTGCCTGCTAACTGAGGTGTTGTCCAGCAGTGGTAGCCTTAAATACAGGCCTGTGGTGCAACAGCACAAGTTTGAGTGATAGCTCTGAAGCCAGAATTTTATGCCAGTGTTGAAGGTAGCCATAAGTTGGGAGAGCGATTTGCTGCCCCAAATTTTGAGGAGAAAAGTTTAAAGAGAAAAGGCAGGCTGTGACAATTTGCAGTGTGCTGTAAGATCTCAGGAGCCAGTATATACTGTAAGTGTTCTTTTTAATAATTTTCTAATATTTAACCATTATTTTTTGGTCTGGTCTATGTAAGTGCTATTACTTTATATATCTGTGACAATGGGGAGTTTAAAAGCAAATTTTAGTGACCGTTTTAATAATGAAGTTTCTCCTTTTGGGTATGGGAAATTAGTACAGTGGAATGCCTCTATAATGAACGAGATGGGGTCCACGCTAAATGTTCGGTACAGCGGTCGTTCGGTATAGCGAATTTAACTGCTGAACGTCTCGTTGCCGTGTTGAATAGCCCCCTCTCTTGTCTAACCGAAGTGCACCCTCTTGTTATACCTTGGTTTGCTGTTTTCGTGATGTTTTGCCGTTGCATTCAAGTTTAAGGTTTCTAGAAATGTATCTGTTAATTATTTTTGTTTTTTAATTAAACTTAATGTAATATGGTTAAATGGTGCATAAATGTTTGCCGTAAGATATACATGTTTATTAGCGAACATGGGTATGATTATTCAATATTTCAGGGCTCCTTATTATGGAGTCGGGGCTCCTTATTATGGAGTCGGAGCTCCCGTAATTGGCCCTTGTTGAATACCATGACACGATCAAGCCAGGTCCTATATTGGCCGGACAGGGACAGCAAGTCCGCCGCAAGGGACACAGCTACCTACCTGCCTTTTGGTCTACTTAGTCAAGCCCCGACTCACCTGCATCATCCTCAAAGGATCGGCTGAGAGTCATGTAACATCGGCGCATCGGACAAGTGACCAACTCTCTCTTTGAACTATCCGAATTTGGGCTAGTAATAATTGTTAACCAGCCCACCAGCCTTCTAGTTTCTATGAAACCCATTTTTTTTAAACTGTTAACCTTCTGTATTTTGCTTCCCCTTCATCAAATTGTTTTTATGGTTTGTATATTTGTAAATAAATTAATTTCCATTGAATTTTGAAGTTAAATTATCTGTTTGAGTGGACTGCGTAATTTACCATGCACAGATTGCGTGTCAGAAAGTAGGGGGACCCGGGCTTGTCATATGTCAAATGAAACAATAGAGCTGTCAATCACTCCTCAGAAGATTTATTTTCCAGCAGAGCTGGGGTGGATTTATTCTAGAATTTTTTATCTTTGGGATTTGCGGAGCCACTTGCAAACAGTCATTTAGTCCCAAGGTAGTTTTTTTGGTGTATTGGCACCAATTAAAAATCATAATATTAAGTACTATAACAGCCACTTTTTTTGGTTTGATGTTTAGACAAATTAAATCTTGGGAACGGTACTTAAGGGTTTGACAAGACTAACCTGCTCTAAGCCTGAGTTTTCGAGAGCTCCTGAAGTGTCGACTTTCACAACATCTTTTGAAAATAAAAATTAACCCAGATTGCATCAATTGAGCTTTGTGAAACCTTCAACAGTTAGTTCCATTTAAATATCCAGGAAAATCTCTCTAACGGATTTAATTGTTTCATTGAAACGGTTAAACGTTTAAACTTACTGTCATGACCCTTACTGTCATGGAAAAGTTTTCCTCCAGACATATCCAAAACAGCTCGCAGTCAGAGGCAATAACGTGGATGACGAATGCAAACGGTCTGTTGTCCGCCTAATGTCATTTCCTTCTTTACCCGAAAATGCAGCTGTGCACCTCATATAAATGGGGGAAATCATGGAATGTAATGGTCGGTGATGGTACTTTTAATAGTACCATACAATGGTCAAGTGCTTTGAGGAAAAAAGTAAATTTTAAGAAAGCATTTATGGAAGACCCATTTTGGGGGGATGAATTCACTGGCCATTCATTGTTGTTCAAACCAAGAGAAAAATAAAAGTAGCAAGGGAATAAAATCAGGAGAGTATTCCAAATAAAATTTTCTGAGGAGCTTTCATCCAACCAAAGATTGACAGCTGACTGACATCCATGTATTACAATTGTTCCAGTAGACTTGGTTGTGTCTTCTGATTGACAGCCCGCCTTGGCATTTCTTTTCCCGAACACCCAACCCGCAAAAAAAATTAACACTTCCCTCCTTGGCATTTTCTATCCTAATCTAGATCACCTGTGGTTTTTATTATTTTTCAGAGCACCCAACCCACCAAAAATATAAATTCTTTTCCCCCTCGGCATTAAAGGTTTATTTTTTTTTCTGCACCCGTCTCTTTTTATTCGGAGCAGCCAACCTACCAATAATATTAATTCTTCACTCCTCGGCATTTCTTTTCTATCCAAACCTAGACCACGTGTGGTTTTTAAAGTTTCCTGGCACCTCACTTTTTTTTATTCGGAGCACCTAACCAGCCAATAATATTAATTCTTCCTTCCCAACCTCAGCATTCATTTTCTATCCGCATTTTGACCACTTGTGGTTTTTATTTTTTTCCTAGCATCACTGCAATTTTTTTTTCGAGCATCCATTCCAACCCATCAAAATATATTCACTCTTTCCTCCTCGGCATGTATTTTCTATCCACACCTAGACCACTTGTGGTTTTTATTTTTTCCCAGCACCGCTGCATTTTTTATTTGGAGCATCTATCCCAACCCATCAAAATAAATTCTTTCCGCCTTGGCATTTTTTTCTGTCCAAACCAAGAGGTGGTCTTTATTTGTTTTTCCTGTACCTGTTCACATTTTTCCCCTTATTCCCAGCACCCAACCGGTCAAAATATATTATTTCTTTCCTCCTCAACATTTTTTCATCCAAACCTTGACCACGAGGGTTTTTATTAAGAAAGTATAAAATGTGGGAAGTCGGTACACTAAAGGGACAGAATGAGCGTTTATAAGAGGGAAGAAAAAAATCTTATCGAACCAAACACTGTTGACACTTACTCAGCCAAGGCTCAAGAACAGCTTGTATGCATGTTCTTTGCATCTTTGTTGTGCCGTTCTCCCACACACAGGAACGGCCAATTAACATAACAATACTCTCTGAATCACTCATGCGAGGGAACGGGCAGGAACGCGTTCCAAAGTGCTCTTTGGAATGGGGATGAACGGGAGGGCGTGCATTTTTGATCCAGTCCCTAATTTGAGACAACATGCAGAATCAACACAGTGACACCTTTTCTGACAGATCAACATCAACACTGGTAGCACAGTGAATACCTGGAGAAGAAAGGTGAAACGTAATAAACATTACTCACGAAGTGGTGGAGTGATCAGAATCACCGTTGTTCCATATGGACCTGAGCCAACTTGAGTATGAGCTCGAACTTTGAAGACATACTGTGTGTTGGGTTTCAAGTTGGTTAAGGTGACTATAGTATCAACAGTGTCACTGATAAACTCCTGTCCTGGGTCTTCTTCCAAGTAATAGAGTATACTATAGAGTGTGATGTCTCCATTACTCTCCTCATCTGATGGCCTGGACCAAGACAACTGTACAGATGTACTAGTTAATGCTTTCCCAGTGAAGTTTTGTGGTGCACCTGTAGGTTCTAACAAATAAGGTATACACAGAAATGGTTCAAACATTTTTAGGCAATATTCGAAGAAAGTCATAATGTTGATCAAACTGGGTAAAATATGAATGGTGAAAGACCTTTACATGATGAAAGAGCTTCAAATTTAACTGTTAATGCTTAATTTACAAACACTTATGATTGGTTAGTCTTTTTTGCATTTTTACAGTAATTAAATAGCAAGTATAAGACTGCAATAAAAGAAATGTTTTAGTGTAAACATTTAAAATTCTACATGACAGGACAGGTGTGTTTTGACCAGGTTTGATGAAGATGAAACCTTTGAAAGCAGCCATCACACTGTAAGAAGAACTGTGTACAAAGTCTATGAGTTTTAAAACACAAAAAAGAAGAGGAAACCTTTTTCAGACTATGCAAAAAAACGCACATGGGACGAAACATGATGCTTAACTCTGCCCAGCCTATATATGTAAATTTCCCAAGTGCCTATTACAATTCACAGAAAAGATCTATTCTACCCTTGACCCTCTACAATGTACTGTGGTCCCACCGCCATGTTCTTCGTCCTTTTCGAAGCAGTAAGGTCACCAGAGTGGTAAGGTCTGCAGAAAGGCCTGACGCTCTGAAGGATTACTGGACAACGTCCAGCACGTCAAGTGAAGACCCTCCAAAGCTTGTGGAAGAGCCACCAATTGGGCTGACGGAAGGACCAACGGCTGTCATACCAGAAATCTTGGCAACCAGGGTTAGCGAGGCCAGAATGGGGTGACAAGGAGGATCCGACATGGCTCCCTTTCTATCTTGGACAGGACTCGTGGGATGAGGGTAATTGGAGGAAAGGCGTACACAAGAAGGCCCGACCAGTCGATCTGTAGGGCATCTGTCGCCCATGCCCGCGGGTGAGAGAACCTGGATCAGAACGTCAGGTGATGGGCATTGTCGCCAGATGCAATAGGAGGACACTCCAACATTTGGATGAAAAGTCCACTCTGTCAGTCGGACGGTACCCTGAGAGAGTGCATCTGCCATGTCGTTGCGGGTTCCTGCTATGTGGTCGGCTTGGAGGGTGATGCCTTGATCGTTTGTCTACATGAAGAGCTGCCACGCAAGGGCGGAGAGTTGGGGAGAGCAAGTGCCGCCCTGATAATTGATGTACGCCACTGCAGTGGAGTTGTCGCTCTAGACTCGAATGGAACGACTTACTTGGTATTGTCGAAAGTGGCAAAGAGTGTTAACACTGTTGAAGTTCCAACACAATGATGTGTTTGTCCCGAGCGAAGTGTCCCAGACCCCGGAGGCATGGAGTGAAGGCTCCCCATCCGAATAGCGACACGTCCATCATCATAGTTACATCTGGACCTAGAGGTACGAAAGGATGGTTCACCACCGCAGGCAATTGCGTAGGAAGGTCGGCCCACATGTTCATCTGTAAAATCTTGATAAGAGATTAGAGTCAGTTAACTCGAAACTCCACTTACCTCAAAGAATAATTAATTCCCGCCAAAAGAATAGGCTTTTATGTACAAAAACATATCCGTAACTCGAACTGCTCACATTGCCGGATTCGTTTACCTCAAAGTTTTTGTGTAGCAGATCCAAAAGAAACCGCCGCCAAAATACTTCCAGAAAGTGTATACAGAATGCGGGTCTAGTTTTGAATCATTTCTGACATGCTTATTTCGTCTTTTCACACGGGAACACTAGCAAGCGTGTTACAATGATGATCGATCTACACACATAAACCACACTGTGACCGCAAAATCTGACTTGCAGGAATTGGCCCAATTGTTACCAAGGGCCCATTGTAGCCAGTGCGTCAGCAGGCCAACTGATGGCTCTTTGCAGTGGTAGCGGCAATGCATCGGAGATCTTTGTGTATGCCGCACGCGTAACACGTACGGAAGTTAAGTCTGGCCTAATGGTCTGGTCCAACTGCTTGCGCTTGCCTGTGCGATGGCTGCCCAATTAGAGCCACAAACCACAGCATGCTCACATGCAGTGGACCAACCACGTGACTGCAATGCAGAGCTTTTGCATAGCTAAATCTCACTGCCAAAAAGTAAACAAAAGTTTGAAAATAAAGAACGAATAACAAAAACATAAAAACAGACACCAATAGCATTTTTGTTTTTACGAAAATTTACTGAAGCGCAAAATGTTGCGCCCTCATGTGATGAAAAAAGTCGTCTGAGTCATCGGGAAACCCCGCCTGAGTACGCATGTGCAAGGCGCTGCGTTGCGGTGCGGTATCAGAAATGGGAACACCACAAAGCGTCACATGCACAAGTCAAAAGAAAGATTTGCCACACAAAGGTATACAGTTTAAATGATTTACAGTACATGTAATGTGTTATTTATCAGCTGATTGACAACAAAAGTCCTCTGCAAAAATTTCTTCCTATAAACAAGTATAAAATAACCCCAATGTCATTTCAAAAGTCATCGTAGGGAGATTTATGGTAACTGTGCGTCAGCATATAGGTACATGTTATGATTCACATCGTAATAATGACTTAACTTCAAAAGAAATTGGGACCCTCTTTTTGCTCAAATTTCGGATAACTCAAATTTTTTGTCCATTCCCCAGAGATTCGAGGTATCAAGATTTTACTGTATATAAAATGAATACATGTAATAAGCCCTGTTACATTATACTATGTTGGAAGTGGCCATTTGTATCCTGGAGTTGGAAGACTATGGCCATATCGTAACATGCATGGGGAATTAGGGTTATTCCGCATGCACTGCAAAAATAGAAATGCTGCAGGTAAGGAGCGCCCGCTCCATGAATTAAGTATCCAAATATCCTATTTCATTCTACATCTATCTCGGCCTTATAACCTTTCCATTTACTCGTCGGAACAGAGTACGAATGGCTGAATGGTGAAGTTGACACATGCTTGCCAATTCCGTCTTTCATTTCGATTACGCAGGGTGCAGTCAGCAAGGCAACCATGGCAAACTTATAAACAAACTTGTGCGGCGCGGATAGTAGGCACACTGTTGTCCACCCTCATAACATTCACAGTATACACACTTTAGACAAGCCCACTGCAGAAGAACTCATGTCCGGAAAGCAATGTGGGGCGTGGCCAGGCCAAATATATGGAGCGTTGGGAATATATAGATGAAAAGAGCATGAAGTGATGTAAAATTTGGTGAATTAGGACACCTGAGACGTGGATACTGAATTGAATGGCGTGATCACCCGTCAGAGATAGAGGGGAGTCTGTCTGGAAGATAGCGGTTGATTTTATAAGCCTTAGTGCCTCCGATGACAAAGTTGCAGATAAAGGAGGGCTCAATAGGTCTGCAAGTAAGGCGATGACAGCAGCGGTGAGTGGCATTCGAGAACCAGTTCTGTTGCATGAAAAGTGGTCGGTGAAGAGCCCACATAGTTAGGTGGCGCTTCTGAATGAGCTGCCCACGGGACCAATGGGGCGACAGCCTGAGGTGTTGTAACTTCAAAGTCACACGTGACTGAACCGCTGTGAAGTTTGTCTGACAGCTGAAGTTCATGGCATGCGGTGGTCGCTGTAGCTGACCAGGGAGGCATGGGGCTGCTCCGGTGTGTAGACTGGTGAGCCATACTAATGAATACACACCCCCACGGTAGGCACTGGTCATAGGGAGACCGCAAGAGGACTTCAGAGTGCGGGAACTGGGGTGAGGGAGTAAGTTTACTTGCCCCCAAGTGCAGCGCCCAACAGACAGAGTCGTGTCAATCCTGGGCCGGATCCCACTGAAAAAATTGGTCTGGCTGGAGAACAGAGGCCACTTCCACCTCCAAAGGCACCCCTTGTGAGGGAGGAGGAATAGCCAGGAGGGGATCCAGGTCAGGCTTCATTGCCACTGGCTGAGGCTTTGAGTCTACCTTGCGGGTGACAGAAGTTTAGGCCTCTGAGAGGGACTGAAGGGTCGCCACCCATGGGGGCGGATCCGGATCAGAGCAGCATTTCCTCTTAGCCATGGATCCAGCCAGTCATATCCTGGGAGGAACGTCCCAAGTCAGGATCAGCGGCCCCATGTCCAGAGTCCATCCGCAGAGCAGAGGTCATAATAGGACAGTGGATGGGGTGTGGTGGACAAAAGTCCCAGCAGTGTAGCAGTAGAAAGGGCTAGCATCATCTGATGTAACAGGTTTGCCCGCAGTTGAGGCGGTGGAGCAGGCTAGTCAGCCATGGAACCTGTTGTCCGCTTGGAGGGGGTTAACTGGCCCAGTTTCCAAACGGGCATCACCCGGCAAGCAGTACGCAGTGAGGGACCCGCAGTGAGCGGACCGTCGCCCCATGAGCCCCACTGGGCCATCGCTATGTAGGGTCACTTGGGATGTGGCCGGCAGTGATAGTCAGTACCCGTAGCACCGAGAAGAAACAGCTCGTTAGGCTTTGGGTCCTTGATGACCAAGGGTAACGTAAGCTTGGCCCGACCAGTAGGCCTGGGTGCCTAGTAGTCGTCAGTGATCAAGGGTGAAGTTGCGGCAGCTGCTTGCTCAACCTGATCAATTCCAGCCATGGTTATCAGTGATCAAGGGTAATGTTGCAGCAACTGCTCGATTAATATAAGGGTCCGGGGTATCTTGCGGCAGCTGCTCACTCAACCCCAGCCCAATTCATTCCACTGGGTCTCTCCCCGTCATGGCCGTTACTCTAGGATAACGCACACCGCACCACAAAGGAGCGAGGCAGCCCACCAGCCCCACTCCACGGCCAGACCAATACAGTGTTGGGCCGTTATTGTTCGAATCCACGCACCACATTGAGAACAAAGGGCTGCCCGCTAACCCTGTTCAACGGTCATATACATTTACAACACAATACAATTGTAGGTCACACCCAAACTTGTAGATAATGCACAAAAAAATTGGCAGAAATGAAAAAAAAAAGTACGAAAAACAAAGAAAAGCACTCTTACCTATAGATCAGAAAACACTCTTTATTAGTACTCAGGAATCAAGTCAATTCACAAACACGAAAGGGTACGGAAATCGCAACTCCGAAAATACCATAAAGACACGTCCGTTAATTGAAGGCACTGAGAAAAGAAGGATGAACATGGCGGCAGGACTGCAGTGCATTGTGGGGGGTCAACGGGCAGAATACCCAATCAAGTCTTTTCAGCAAATTGTAGTAGGCACTTGGGAAATTTGCATGTGTAGGCTGGGCAGGGGTATGTGAACGCAGGAGACCAGAAAATTTAGTTATATTTAAAACCAGTAACAGAATCCTGTGTCTCTTTCACAAGCTGCAATATCTGCCAGTTCTAAACTTACTTCCTTCTGGCGTGACAAGATCAAACTCTGCTGGAAGACCATATCCCTCACTGTTCTTGGCAGCCAATGTGAAGAAATATCTCTTTCCTTTATCTGGTAGGAAAAGTTAAACAGCAAATGCATTTTCAAGTCAACAAATTGTAAGCCAAAAATGAAGTACAGACTGCACTAGAGCTTATTCAAAAATTAGAGGGCCTGGCATTTTGATCCAGGCAGAATCTTTGCCAAAAAAACCTGCTTGGATTGATTTATGATATAAGTTTTAATATTTTAGGTCAATGAAGCCAACATGCAGTTTGCAGCAGTTTTACACTTCTCAAACCTCTGTTAATGCTAGAGGGCAAGAAAATGTGATCTGGCAATCTGTATTTGACTATTTGTAGGGACAGCTGATGTATACAACCACTGAACATCCTCTCAGTCTAGATTGGCATGTGTCTTAACCCCTTTTTGTTTTTACACACATGTGTCTAAGATACGAATTCTCTGTTGTAGCAAATATCACTCTGAAAGATCTTGGAGTGTTGCAAAAAAACCGATGTGAACATATTACTCTTTGTGGCATTCGGCTGCATTTTAGAGGTGGGGCTTACAGTGTACATATCTTGGGTTTTTTTAAGAGTCACATTTTTAGCCAAAAATAATACCATTTGAAAGTGGCTGCAGAGGGTAGTCAATTTCAGTTACATTCTTCCCAAAAGATAATCCCCTAACAACATCTCATGTCATAAATACAACGTATTCACCCCTCTTGCTTTTCAGAATATGTAGTATGTGTACATGTGGGTTCTCTACATGTGAGAACAATTTTGAATTTACACAGACTTTTGTATGATTAAGTTTCCATTTGCACCCTGATACTCTTAAATATACAAGGGTGCACAACTTTCACATATATTATCTAGCAGGAGTGATATTTTAAATTCTAAAATAACCTGTTTAATTTACAGCTATATCACATCATGAGTGTTTCACTCACATACGAGAACACAAAATCTTGGGAAAGTCTGAAAAATGGGTATGGTTAAGGAACACGTAAAGATGTTAGTTTTCAAGCGTTAAAGCAATACAAAACTATGACACCGCTTTCAAGTTGCTCTGAAGTAACCATACATATCAAGCTGCAACAAATGTTCTTTACCTATAAACTTAAAAATCATCCATTTTGAAATTTGAATGCTCTTTAGAAGAAAGCAGATTTTTATGCCTGGTCTTAAAAAGGCATAGGATATGCGCAGTGATCTATTTAGCTCAGTCTGAAGAGTGTTATACATTGTTCAGACTTGCATGGAGAACCACGATCAGCAGTGCATGCACATGTAATGTAAAATTTTGCCCCAAAGTCAGTTTTAGAATTTGGTACTGTACAGTTCCGCTAAAAATTTCCTGAGCCTACTTTACCTCTGAGCAGGAGGGATTAAGGATTCTTTCAAAAAAATAACTCTGCAAACCATTCACGAATTTACATGGAAATCCCTCTGTTGCGAAGGACAGTCCACTTCACGCAGTCCGGTCCAGTTCATAACAATAACGCAAAGTTGGTGGACTTGTTCAACGAATTACTTTTTCTCCCTTTACAGCTTTTGCAGAGAATGGTCAAAGCACTATTAAATGAATTGCATAAGCAATTGTACAATTTCAACATTTGTTCATTCAAAGTCACACTACAACTTAGTACAAGCACAAGTTTTCGGTGAAGAGAGTGCCATACTATAATTTTTGGAATACAGGCTGCGGCTTGTATGTTGATTCTCATGCTGAAAACAAATCTGCGTTATACTCTGGGTGATACAGTAACATTTGAGGAATGAAAGCAGTCACGAATGCCACGCTGTGCCTGAGCACAACCTATCCTGGCCACCGGATCGCCAGCCAGCCACGTGCAAGCACAGCGGTGCAGAACTCCGGCTAGGGACAATGCATGTCATGTGTTGGAAATAAAGAAGATCAGTCTAGAGGGACAAAATAGACTTGCAAAGTACCGTTAGTACCATTTACACCTCTAAAACTGTGTGATGTTTCTGTTTGTTTCTGTTTGTTTTACTGTTAGTGTAATCCATGTTTTTGTTATATCACTGTTGTTTGAAAATAAAAGAAAACAAAATTTTTTAAAAAGGCTGCAAGGCCCACCCAGCCAGGACACTTATCCATCTCATCAAAGTTGGTAATCCTGAGGAATCTTGAGGAAGTGTGTTACATGATTTTTTTTCTTGGTTCCAAAGACCTTCCTAGTTCATGCCCTGATCCATGACACGAACCACACACTGGGGCACTTTAACTTTCAACATGCTTCATGTTCACAAATGTTTTAAACTGAAATATCAGCCGTGTGGGTTTTTTGGGGGAGGGGTTCTTTTTTTAGCTGTTTCGGCATTTTGGCAAAACAGCTTTTGTTTTTGTTAAAGGCTTTTTTTTTCCTTGTTTCTCTGCAGACTCTTTCCCCATAGGTTTTGTACACGTTTTCCAACAGCCAGACTTCCACACTGTTCTCGACCTGACTCGAAGATGTTAGGTCAAGATCCTTAGCCCAACAGTTTGGGAGGATCTAGGAAAAAAATTGTCATTATGACGTCATCACGCAATTTATCACTGAAGTCAAAGACTGGTGCATTCATACATGTACATCTGAGTGACTTTCTTTTGGGAACATAAGTAGTCCATCCACCCATGGGGCTGTCAAAATAAAATTGTCACAGTGGTGCCATTAGGGGTCACGTGATTGATTAAAGTTGCAGTTTTCTCCATAGGTTTTGTACACTTTTTCTACTACGCAATATCATCCATCTTAATGAGAGTAGTCCTGAACTTCGGCTGAGGATTACTATGAGAACAAAAGAAATTTTATTTTTCGTCTCTGTTCGATTACATATATACCCAAAAGTCTGAATATCCAATAATATTTCTGAATTTTTTTCAACATAAATGCAAATCACATGACATGACTTAAACCTCTTGCTGCCTGGGTTTCTGATACCGGACACGTATTCTTTATAGGCATGGCCGGGGACTCCAAAATCAGACAAAGGGAACAGGGCCTTGTAACAAAAGACCGTACTCGTAACAAAAAAGACCAGGCTGCTGGGCATTACCAACATTTTTTTCACTCTGAATAGTGGAGATAATCCAGCCATGTTTTCAAACAGTATACCATTTAGCGCGAGCGGATTACCACCTGGGACAAAAGTGCTCCACCACTGCAGCGATGAGCCACACAGTACCGCTGCAAACTAATCTGGCCCCTATTGAAAAGAGGTGGGCAGCACACTGTGCCAGGTTCATGAACAAAAAAGAAAATTATAAAACATCACACAATCTGGGCTCTTTTTATAAGGCAGTTGGCCTGGCTGAAATACTCCAACATCAATAGATGTTGCCTGTCAGATTAGAGTGGAAACCAGATGTCCTTCATGAGGGTGTAATTGTCCAGTAAATGAAGATATGAATTTTTAAAGAATTTCGAAAACAGAAAAAAATTTAAATTATCCCGTCCCAGCATCATCAACATTCAGCTGCAGTTTTTCTCTGTAGGTTTAAGGACTGGTGCACTCATACATCTCAGTGACTTTGTATTGGGAGCATAAGAAGTCCAACAACCTGTAAGGCTGTCAAAAGAAAACTGTCATGGTGACGTCATCAGGAGTCACAAGACATGAGATTAAAGCTACAGTTTTCTCCATAGGTTTTGTACATGTTTTCTACCTAACACTAATGACCAAGTAGTCAACTAGATTACAATGAGAGGAAAAGAGAAATCAGAATAAATTTTCCCTTTCCTTCGATGAAAAATATACCCAAGAGTTACAATATCAAGCAATGTTTCATATTTGTTTTTTAGTGTGACCGCAAATCATGTGACATGTACTTAAAGGAGCAGTAAGTCGCGTGGAAGTATTAAAGTAAGGCAAGGTACCAGAAGGCCAAGGCTATAGGCCTATGCAAATAACACAACCAAGAAACGCTAGGTTAATGTTTGGAACTTGGCCCATTCCTTAGTTAAAGTAGACTAGCTGACAAAACGGTGGGTCTTGGCCTATTTCTTGTGACACAGCCAACAAAAATTGTTGGGCCAAAAAAAGAGCTCCGCTTCCACGATTACCATCATAGCCTATACTATAGGCCTATGCCAAATAGGGTCGGTAGGCCTAGCCTACTTTGAGAGCTCAAGGTCACTCACTCTGTGATACTTGTTGGCCTAACCTACATGTAACTCGGAAAAATATTTTGGTTCAATATTTTGTGCTTCATGAATGGGGACAAAAGTTTCCAGAAAGAGTCTCAAAAAGTGAATAAAACGTTCTCTTAATCTATGTAGAAATTTCTATTTTTTTAATTCACAAGAATTGTGGAAAATGGACACGAGTCCGGTAATCACAACGGCAAGCTAGCCAACAGTGTCCATTTATCGAGTGGTAAGCATGCGTGGGAACACGAACACTTACGTGCAGAACAACTTCAACCTAAACTGGTGAACACAGAGAATACAGACAAGAGACCAAGTTCCATGAATTACCTTGCAGAAATCCTCTTGTAACAAAGCCTAGATGTTTTTTTCGACCTGCAGTTGTACTCATGTGTAGTATCATATAGCGAGGGTTGCATGCATGTACGAGCGGGCGCCAATGTCCTGCAATCGACCAGGACGTACGTACCGGTTGGCACATTTCCCCCACACATTCTTTTGCATATAGGCACAGCGGGAACCAGGGAAACCTTGTTTAATGTGTTGAGCTTTGCGCATGTACAGCAACAACGGCACGCAAAGCAATTCATGAAAATCAATCTTTTCAAGAATTGGAAATCTAAGTAGGAAAACATATAAAAAGAAGCATTTCATTAAGAGAAAACGTTGGTGAATGGTGGTTTGCGAAGAAAGAAGACAGCAGGATTTATTTTTTTTTATTTTATTAAATTTGTTTTTCTAACTTTCCGATAAAAATTTTGAAGGTCCTACCGAAAATTAGGATTGGTCGGCAAACTGGAAGCAGACGTGTTTTATTGGGGGCATAACTTACTTAACAACTAACAAAACCCACACAGCCATACATTTAACTTAACTATGTGGGCCTAGCCTCATGTTATAGTGAAATATATGC